CATCAGTCACTGTAGAAAACAGTATGGAGGTTCCTCCAAAAGTTAAAAATAGAGCTACCGTATGATCCGGTAATCGCACTTCTGGATATTTACCCAAAGAGTACAAAAACACTAATTCAAAGGGACACATGCACGCTTATGTTTAATATTTATCATGTCCAAATTATGGAAGCACCCCAAGTATCCATTTGAGATGAATGGATAAAGAAGTGATGAGATATATATACATATATAACTCAGCCATAGAAAAGAATGAAATCTTGCCATTTGCAATAACATCAATAGATCTAGAGAGTATAATGCTAAGTGAAATAAGTCAGAGAAAGATAAATACTGTATGATTCATTCATATGCAGAATTTAAGAAACAAAGAAAAAAAAGAGAGACAAACCAAAAAATGGTCTTTTAACTGTAGAGAATAAGAGATAAGTTTACCAGATAGAAGGTGGGTAGGAGGGTGGGTGAAATAGGTGAAGGGGTACACTTATGGTGATGAACACTGAATAATATATGGAATTGTTGAATCACTGTATTGTATACCTGAAACTAATATAAGACTATGTGTTAACTATACTGGAATTAAAATTTTAAACAAACAAATAAATAAAAAGAGAAAATAAAAAGAAAATGAACAAAAGAAAAAAGAGAAAGAGACACATGGGGGAGGGAGGAAGGAAGGAAAAAAGAAAGAAGCAAACTTATGTAACTTAGGGGTTCCAACATATTTGACAAAACAGAGCTTAAAATCACGCACTCATCTCTACTGGCTTCCTACTATATCATCTGCATATGAAATCAGGACTTGACAATTTTACAAGTCAGGTACCCTTAGGTATTTCAAATTTTATTTTTCCTGGATGTTTGTTTACCTAGCATTGCTTATCTAATATTAATTCAAATCTGTGAAAATGTGAGAATAATGACTAAAGAAAAAGATGTGCAAACAATTCTGAATAAAAGAGAATGAACGCCTTTTAATAGAATCTCTTTAATATGTAATTTTAAACTACTTTAAAGGGTCCCAGTTGCTTGTGCTAATATAGAATCTGTTTTAAAATAACATGCATTTTGATAATAAGTCATTTGGGGGAGGTGTTTTCGAATAAGGTCAGTAGCAAAAGAAACTTCATATGAAGTAAACTTTTTTTCTAATTTAAATAGAAGAGTAGAAAGCATCACACTATAGCACATAAATTAAATTCCAGCTTTTCTGTTGAAATAACTTTTTTTAAAAGGTTTGAAGTACTTTAATTAAAATATGCCTATTACATATACTGGAGTCATGGTCAGTAATGAAACTTGGAATTTTCACACTGTAACAGAAGCCATGCCATACAGCAAAGAAAAATTACAGTGAGGAAGTCCCAAGTATTTTTTATGGGTCAGAATATAAAATATCCATGATTCGATTCCAGCTAACTCCATTTAAAAAATAAAATAAAAGATGATATTCTCCTGACGTAAATGAAAGGATCCATGCAAAATGAAAGGCTACTTATGAGATGTTTGTTATTTCTTTGGGAAAAATTGGGTTTATGACCAAAGTAAATGGAAACCTTCAAAATTTCTTAGAACCACTTTCCATGCCCATCTGTAAATAATAAAACTGTATCCAATCAGAATATACTTCACCATAGATGGTTCTGCTTTTGAAAGGTACTGACTTTAGCACTTACAATTTCCTCAGCCACAACAATTAGTCGGAGCTTTGGCAAAAACCATCAAAATGAGAGAACCTGTGCATTGCAACATTTTTTTTTCTTGTTTCTTCCACTCTCTCACACACATCATGCATGGTCGATGAGCTGGATTGCATGTACTTGGCTAAATCAGTTGCTGAAAATTCATTTTGTTCTGCTTATGAGAATCCATTATTTTCCTCAATTTTCAGAAAAAAAACTGAGACTTCTTAATAATTTGCACTTTGACTACAGTAGGAGTCCAGTTGACTTAAACATTAAGCATGACTTAGAAGAACTGAGTTATATATATATATATATGGCTGGTGTTAAATCTTTCTGTTGTCCCTTCTACTTAGATCAACAGGCCATTAGGTTGATATTTGTGCTCAGAAAAGAAAGGTAGCTTTGTGATGGTCTGAGAAGAAGAATTGTCTTAATGTCTATGGATACTTTAAGAAATGACTTCCCCTGGCAAATTATACTCAAAATTATGAAATTATATATTAACGTTGATGTGAATAAACTACAAATTTATTAAAGTTACCGTAAAATCTAGCCTAAATGTGCCATTCAAAAATAATCTAAATGAGCTGTGGAACAGAGCTTGAGGATTTTTCTTCAGGTTAAAAGGCAGTTGAATGTCTTGCAGGAAAAAAAAAAAAAGCTTTCTCTTAATTCTTCAGAAAGGAAGCAAGGAGGACCATTTCTTCTTTGTTTCCCTTACTTAAATTGGGCTGGAAGTAAAGGAAGTATGTGTCTGAAAGGTAGGTTCTGACAAACAGTACTAAATTTAACCAGCAAGTGGATGATAGTACAGACAGATGGGTGAGATTTATGAGGAGACCTTTTGGAAGTGGCCTCAAACTGGTGGTTGCCCAAAAGGCGTCAGTGCGTGTAGTGTTTTTGGCTGGAAGAGTAAGGGGGTGGGGAAGAGATGTGTGTTGGCAATAAATATATAGATGCATGCTGACTGAGACTTGATATTGCTTGTCAGACGTCTCTATTTTTGTCTAAACTTCAAAAGCTATTTCATTGTACTTTGAGAAGAGCAGAAGGTCTTGGGTTCTGTGATTGGTTATTGTTTTGAAAAGGAAAGAAAATTACCTTTCATTTTCTCTCCATCGGCATTAAATCCTCAATAGAGATTAGAAGGATGTTCCAAGTCACTGCAACTATCTCAAGGACCCTTTGAGTCCCTTACTTCTGACTAAGGTTTTGTAATGCTCTCACCATTGTAGGAAAAACTGCAAATAGAAGCCTAGGAAAGCAGTTTTGAAAGAATGTTTCGATGTTTCCACTTGTTTTGAACTCCTACACAAAATCAGATTTTACCTTTAAAGTATTTACCAAGAGGTATTTTGAAGCCTGTGCAGGATGAAGCCTTGTATTAACCACCAAAGGAATAACTGTATTTAGAGTAATGTTTCCTGTGAAATTTTCATGGTACATTTTTATTGTAAGATCTCAGTTATTAAAAAAAGAGAGGAATTTTGTGTCAGGGGCTCAGCTAAAACCTGGAACATGACAAAACCATTTGCTGTGGGGTACTATTTACAACCTAATGGGAGAGATCAAACAAATCAAACAGTCCCAGTCTGGGTAGGCTAAGTACTATGACAAGCACCTGACAATTTAATGGCATGGAGAACTGAAATTTAACTATTTACACAAAACTCCAATGCCAATTGATGTTCCTAGTCAGGCTGGGATGATGGATGGTCATCTTTGTAACTCTCTAGTATCAATAGACTTTATTAGTGGGGTGAGGGGTGATCCTGAGATCTGTGGCTGAAGGACCAGGCTCTTTCTGTCTTAATGGATCATTCCGCCTGTCAGTCCTCAGGGATTCTACCTGTGAATAGGGAACATTGAATGAAGGATTATGTATGACATAGTTTTAAGCCAGGTTTGATTTTTTTTTTAAAGATTTTATTTATTTATTTGAGAGAGAGAATGAGAAAGAGAGAGCACGAGAGGGGGGAAGGTCAGAGGGAGACGCAGACTCCCCGCTGAGCAGGGAGCCCAATGCGGGACTCGATCCCGGGACTCCAGGATCATGACCTGAGCCGACGGCAGTCGCTTAACCAACTGAGCCACCCAGGCGCCCAAGCCAGGTTTGATATTGCCATGATTTATATCTGGCTGTATTCCATTGCGAAGAATTCGTCACATGGACATATCTATCTGCAAAACTTAGCATGACTCTATAACAGGAGGAAAAAGGAAACGGTCTGGTTTCTGTGACACAACGTAATGTACCAACTAAGTAGACAGAACTGCTCGAGTATCTAGGAAATCTATCTAAGCAAAACTTGCGGGGGCGGCAGGATATCAAAAAATGCTTTCCATGTGGGATGACAACTTCCTTTGGGAACTGAAGGAGGAATAAGAGTTGAACACTTGGTAAAGAGTTGAGAAGATAGTAGTGTAGACAGAAGAAAGCAATTATGAAAACAAACAAGAATAATTAAGATAGTCTTTAAAACTTCTAAAATGATCCCATTGAGAAATTAAGATACATTGACTTTTTAATTTGTTTTAGAGTCGTGGGTTTAAAAAAATAATAATTGAGATTCTTTTACATAAATGCAATACTTAGAAGATTTAGAAAACTTCATGTTAGCTAGTCCTAGGGTGACTAGGACAAATGAGGATTTGCTTTAGCTTGGCTTCCAGGGTTTAACAATCTAGGTGGCATCCAGTTCCATAAAGAACAAAGGATGGCCGTTTTGAAATATATTATGTGATTTCAGGAAGCAACAAACTGAGACATTTGGTAAACTTGATGAAACAGGTGCAAGAAGGAAGCCTGGCCATTTCATGTCAGACATGTTAGTTGCAATCCAAAATATTAAGGGAGAGTCAATATTCACTACTTTACAGCATATAGACAAAGAAAGTTCCATGTTAATTTTTGGCATTTCACTACTTCAATTAAAGATTTTTATCACATAAAATTGATACCAGCTTCTCATCTATCCTCTTGCTTTTTCTCCTCTCTGTCTCAAACTACCTTAAGAGATGATGGCAGAGGGGCGCCTGGGTGGCTCACTTGGTTAAGTGTCTGCCTTCAGCTCAGGTCATGATCCCAGGGCCCTGGGATCGAGCCCCACTTTGGGCTCCCTGCTCAGCAGGAAACCTGCTTCTCCCTCTCCCACTCCCCTGCTTGCGTTCCCTCTCTCGCTGTGTCTTTCTCTGTCAAATAAATAAAACCTTAAAAAAAAAGAAAGATGATGGCAGAAATACGATATCTTAAAGACAATTTAGAGTTTGAAATATTGTTTTTAAAATAATTTTGTTTCCTGTCTTGTTAATTAGGTTTTGAACCTCTTGAGGCCAGGTACTGTCTGAGAATACCTACAGTGGCTGATACCAGGTAAGTCTGCCCCACATCTTAACCCTTCTTTCTCTTCTTTGGATTCTAATACCGAATACAGTGCCTGCTGTAGAGTTGGCACTCAACAAATACTGATTGGAATGGATGCATGGAAGATATATTCAAACATTGTATTCTACCCACTTTTTATTCCTCTTATAAAATGTGCTAAGATTAAATTGTTCTTTACTATGGATAACCAGTTTTTCTTTTATAAATGAAATTATACTCAAAACATGGAATAACTAGGAAATGATCTGTCAATGAAGGATTTGTTTTTCAATTCTGAATCACGGACGATGTTAGTCATGAATGTGTGGGAAATCTAACAATGGGTTAAAGTTTTTGAACTGGAGCAGCAGATGCCTATAGATTTAAATGTTGATTGAATTTAGCTGCTGCTGCTATGAAATTTTTAGCCCTCGGCGGTGGTCTCGCCTACATACTTTGTTTTGTTTTTTCTGGAAGCTACAAAGCTATTTATTGTTAATGAGGGAATAAAGCAAGAAAACAGATTAGCAAATAGATTAGCACAATTTTAAATGTCTAATCTCTGTTAAACAATAACAGGTTATAATGTGGTGCATTTAGTTCTCAGTATTTCACAGCAAAATTTTTGCTATTAACACAGCTTTGTTATCTTACATATCCTTTCTCAAATATAAATATTTCATCTATCATAATAATGCTTTTTTTATAAAATCCTCTACCAAGTCCATTTTTCTTGCCCATTGCAGCTTAATATTTTGTTTCTAATCTTAAAATGATAATTCTCTGAAATAAATCATTCCTATGCTCTCTCTAAAGCATTTGATCCATTGGCTTACCATTTAAAACTATTATCCTGTGGAACTGGAGGGTATTATGTTGAGTGAAATAAGTCAAACAGAGAAAGACATGTATCATATGATCTCACTGATATGAGGAATTCTTAATCGCAGGAAACAAACTGAGTGTTGTTGGAGTAGGGGGTGGGGTGGGAGGGATGGGGTGACTGGGTGATAGACACTGGGGAGGGTATGTGCTCTGGTAAGAGCTGTGAATTGTGCAAGACGGTTGCATCTCAGATCTGTACCTCTGAAACAAATAATGCAGTATATGTTAAGAAAAAAAGAAGAAGAAGAAGGTAGCGGGAGGGGAAGAATGAAGCGGGGGAAATCGGAGGGGTAGACGAACCATGAGAGACGATGGACTCTGAAAAACAAACAGGGTTCTAGAGGGGAGGGGGGTGGGAGGATGGGTTGGCCTGGTGGTGGGTATTGAGGAGGGCACGTTCTGCATGGAGCACTGGGTGTTATGCACAAACAATGAATCATGGAACACTTCATCTAGAACTAATGATGTAATGTATGGGGATTAACATAAGAATAAAAAAAAAACTATTATCCTGTATAAACTTGTGATGAATTATAAAATAAACTAAAATGATTTTAATTGAGGTTTCTAAATACAAATTTTGTAAATAAAGTTTACAAAGTTTAAAAGTTACTTAGCATGCTTAAATACTCTTCTTTCCTAAAAATTTTAAGTTCTCAGCTTAAAGGAAAGAATACCACCTCTCAAATTCTCTGTTAACTTCATTTTTTAGTTGATGTTTCTTATGATTCTAAGAAAAAAAGGGAATATTAATATACAGAAAGGCACACAAAGTTCCTTCAGAAACCAAGATATGATTGAAATCAAATTAGATGAGAATTGAACAAACAAACAAGGACACAGAGGTTGTAGTAAATTTATTTCAGGCTCCCAGCCTTTTTCTTCCCCTTTAGTTCCTCATTGTTTCTATTTTATATATCAAGGTTCAGCTTACCTTCACCTTAAAGCTTTCCTGAATATCCCCAGTCAAAATGATGCTGTCTTCTGAACTCCTGTGTCTTTGTTCATGACTCTCTTATGATATTAATCATTCTGTTTTATGGTTCAGCAATTTGTATAGAATCAGTTTCTATTTTCTGAGCACATAATGTTCCAAAGTAAGTTTAAAAACCCATTGTTCAGGCATCCAAAGTACTTATTCCCATAGAACTAATAATACAAATGATGTTCCTATTTTCTTTTAAGTTCTATCTCTGTCTGATCTAGTGTCAATAAAAATATTTCAAACATACTTCCATTTATGATATTGCTTCTTCAGAATAAATCAATTCTATTATAAGGGGCAAATTACATAGGTCCTAAACCTAGACTTGCCTGGATTCTCTATTTGCTATCTGTTTGATCTCAGGCAAATTATTCACTTGTGTGTGTCTGAGGTTTCTCATTTGTAAAATGGAGATAATAATTGTACGTACTTCCTAAACTGTTGTGAGAATTAAACGAGTTTTATATGAAAATTCCATCAGAACAGAACGTGACATATAGTAGGGGATATATAGGGTAGTCTGTAAATGTTATCATTATTATTTTCATTGAAACAGGAGGTCAGGAACTTATCTGCCCACATATAGGCATGTTTGAAAGTGGAAATATGCAATGTATTTTAGAAGTTTACCTTCTGGAGACAGGACAGATGAATCAGAGAACACAGTATCTCATGCCTGTATATTCAAGATGAATAAAGGTGGAAACAAAATAGTATAACTATCTTCATCTCATCACAGAAATGACAATAAAAATAACAGTGATTATTATTGGTACTACTTACTGAGTCCTTAAGATGTGCCAAGCATGAAGTAAAGGGCTTTGCATGGCATCCTCATATATTCTGATTACAGATAAAGAAACTGGTGGTCAAGGAACAAAGATCTGTCACAACTAAGAGTTAGAACAAGAACCCAAACTGCAACCTTTCTGACTTTTACATTTTATAGTGTTTCCACTCCACCAAAGACAGTGATATGAACCAGGTCCAAAATATTTTTCAGATTAATATCTACTCATTCTAATGTGTTTTAAGAGGCTCTTCTGCGACTTAACAAATCTATCTAGTTCTTTCTAACCCTGCCTTCTTCAGATTGCCTAAAAAATATAAGACATTTTGTCAAACAATTGTGTGAAGCCCAGAACATTTTACTTACAGCATTATATTTGATCAGTATTTCCCAAATTGTCTTCTCCTCCATTTGTCAGAGATCACCAGCTCACTATTGATGTTGCTTTAGGGATTACATTAGAAATTCTTCTTTCCAGGTAGTCCATAGTCCATGAATGTTAATCAGTCTAAAAGCAGATTATTAACTCTAACATATTATAAAATATTCAACTTGTTAATCTTGCCAGATAAAAGACAGATTTCTTATTTAATGTATCCTTTATCCCTTAAATGCATTTAAACTTTATTTTTGAGATGAATAATAATTTCATATCTCACACATATCTCATTTATTCTTCATAGTAAAACTCTGAGGTCAATACTTGAATTATTTCCATGTTAGGATAGGGACCTGAGAACTAGAGAAACTACATATCTTGCCCAAAGTCACACAAGTAGTAGTAGTAGTATCAGAATTTGAACCCAAGTGGAACTCCAGAGACAACAATCACCACCGTGTTTTGAGGTTGCTTTGAATTGAGAGAACCAAGACCATCCTACTAAATAGCAAAAGCATGAGGCTTCCAGTCTCCTGGCAGTTCCCCCTTAAGTGTCTAGATGGGAAATTTTTTGAAGGGAGAGTCTGTATCTTCTTACTCATCTTCCTATTCATCACAGTGTTTAAAAGAGTGCCCTGACACCATGGACACTTAATAAATGACTGCTTGAGGACATTATGGGATATCTAAGATGCTGGGTTTTTTAAAAAGATTTTATTTCTTTATTTGTGAAGGGCAGAGAGAGAGAGAGAGAGAGAGAGAGAAAACACAAGCAGGGGGAGGGGCAAGCAGAGGGAGAAGCAGACTCCCCGCAGAGCAGGGAGCCCGATGCGGGGCTCAATCCCAGGACCCTGAGATCATGACCCGAGCCGAAGGCAGAGGCTTAATGACTGAGCCACCCAGGCATCCCTCTAAGATATTGTTAATGACGACTATAATGTTTTTGAATTAAAGTTTCAAAATATTTTGCCTTGGGTTCATTGACCAAATTTAGCCAATTTGGTTAAATGAGCTTTCTTCTTCATGTATTGTCACTGTCACTTTTCATAACTGGATCGAGCTAATACTAGCCAGAATCTGTTAAACTGAACTGGGAAATTCAAAAATATATAGGGTGAACATAATATTATTGTGAGTTCGACAGCCAAGTGCTTGGCTTATTTTGGCAAGTGTAACTTAGTTTCTTGTGAACGATAACATTTGATTATATGCTAAGCGGTATCATGTTTTAGTATAAGGACAAATGCCAATACCTATAAATACCTTCACATAATTAAAGTCACCTTCTGGAACTTCAGTTAACTCTTAGAGTTTCATCAATTAAGAAAGTCAGAAATACTACGGGGTTTTTTTAGGTGATTTTAAGAATTGTTTATGAAGTTCTGACTAGCGCTGTTTTAGAGAAATAAGGCAGATTTGCTAAGTAAGCATCCATTAAATGCGCCAGATTTCAGGTTTTTTAGTAAAGAAGTTGTCAGTGTTACACATGGGGGGGGGGCATATTTAGATCTGTGTTAGAGATTTTTGATTACAGTATTAATTTGCCAATCCCAAGTAAAGAACAAGTTAATCTAATTAATGGAAGGCTAATTGTGTAAACAGACTGTATGGCCAAAAGAAGAAAGCTCAGCAGGATGTACTCTGAGTATTTCTGCTTAAGGAAGTTACGTTTTTGCATTCAAGGGTAGTAACCAAAACCTTTGTATTATGCACTGCATTTAAAAGGCTAACTAAAAATATTTACTAACAAGTCAGTATAAGAACAGTGATATGTATAATCTAACAACTTGTTGGGGGGTGTTGCTAAATGTTTTCCAGCTCTAAAAGTCTATAATTGCAATAATTCTTTACCGTGAGTGGACTGAGAGTTTGATTCAGTATGTCTATATTTATATGGTCAGTGAATGTTAGGACTAATACAGACCTTAAATACTCCAGGCTATGTTTGTACATGACAAATTTAGACCCAGAG